ATGGTCAGATATTACTGGCGCTTCATCCCTAACTTCAGTTGTATTGGGGGCACATTATTCAAGTTATTAAAGAATGACACCATTTTTAAATGGACGGTATGGCAGCAACGCGCTTTTGATATGCTTCAAATAGCACTGATCAGTGCCCCGGTGTTACACTATCCTGATTTTGAAAAAGAGTTCACTGTTCATACAGATGCATTTCTTTCCGCCATGGGGGCAGTCTTATCCAAAAAAGATTAAGGAGAGGAGCACCCCGTAGCATATTGCAGTCATAGCTTGAACAGCCATGAGCGCAATTATACCATGACTGAGTGGGAGTGCTTAGCGGTGATCTATGCCTATAGCAATTCTGGGTGTATTTGCATGGAGTCAAATTTAAAGTTGTAATGGATCATGCCACACTACGCTGGTTACAAAATCTGAAAGAACTGGGAGGGCGCTTGGCCCGATGGGCTCTTAAATTGCAGGCATAAAATTTTAAAATTTTTCATTGCCCTGGAGCAAAACACCAGAATGCCGATTGTTTTCTAATATTGCCCACAATTGCAGTTACAGCGTATGTAAGCAATATACTATTTGATAAAATGATCTGCGGGAAGTATGACGACAAACTTCCCCAAGTGATCAAAGCTTTAAATGAAATGAGAGCAAATACCCTCCAACGGAATTGGGAACTGTACAAGCGGATTGGTGACTCTACGGTAAATTTCTGTGACCCTCAGCCTGGCTGGAAATTATCATGAGCGCCCATAAGGCAGTTGTACATGGTGGGGTGCATAAGAAAATGGAGTTTTTGCGCCCTTGGTACTATTGGGAAAGTATAAACTTTGATGTGCTCAAAACCATTTCCTGTTGCCATCAGTGCCAAGTGGAGAAGCCATTCCGCCATAAGACATCATATCAGGTAGTGAAACCACACTTTTCTTGGCATACTGTTTTTCTGGATATCATTGGTCCCTTGCCAACAGGAGCTAACTGGTGTAAGTACATTCTTGTGGCTATCGACCACTTGACCTGGTAGGTTGAAGTAAGGGCAATATGATATTTGGGGGCGGTTACAGTGGCCAAGTTTGTAATGGAGTATCTTATTCAGAGACATGGATGCTCTCAGTTTATTCTCATTGACAATGGAACTAATTTCACCTTGCACATCCTCCCCAAACTGAACGATATTATGGGTATCTGCGGGGTTCTAATGACCCCATACCACCTTGAATCTAATGGAATGGTCAAACGTGTGAACGGGACTCTGATGAATATCCTGCAAAAATCTATAATGGATCGACCATCTGATTGGACATCCCTTCTTTCCACCTCCGTGTTTGCCTATAACATCATTTACCTTTCCGCCACAGGGAAGAGTCCCTTGCAACTACTATATGGCTGACACCCAGCTCTTCCAGCGTTACTTTATTTGTGTGTGGAAGACACCGGCAGAGTGGAACCCCACTGCTATTTGACTAACCTCGCAAACATTCTGATCAAATTGCAAATGGAAGCCTATTCCTTCAGATTAGCTAAGAAGATCAGAAATCAGGCCACGGATCAGGTACGTCAAAGCGGGTTAGTGCAGTTCAAGGAAGGTGACATGGTTCTCTTTCATGACCAGCATGGGTTCAGGTGGAAACACAAGCTGAGTCAGTATATGGATTGGTCTGTTCAAAGTCATTGAGAAAACTGGGGTTGAAGCATATACTATCAAGGACCCTGTTAGTAGTCAAATCATCAACCAAGTGCATGTGAAGTTCCTCCAGGCATATAAGCAATAGGAATCTTATCATCCAGTCAAGGAGGGGTAATGTCACGATTCCAATATGACTGGATGATAAGCCCTAAAGTCAATATGGTGGAATGGATGGAATCTGCTGAGTTGTTATGAATACGATTAATTGAGCGCCTCAAAATGAGGAGATATTAGGTTGTTGGGAAATCAGCCAAATTGGGTGATTGTGAATTGACAAATGAATAATTGGTGGAAATAAATGAGATACGGCAAAGTGAATTACTAAACCATGAAAGTGATACCATCCAAAGTCATTACCATATAACTGGGTTGAGATGATCGATAGAGGAAGTTGTTAGTAGTTTTAGAGTAAGTGTACAGCGAGAATCCGCTGTATTAAGGTATTAAATAAAGAGAGTTGAGGGAGCAAGTGCTCCATATTTATTTATTTTATAAGTTTATTATGCTGTGTCAAGGACAAAGATCATCATATTGCTGGTCCTGATTGCTCAGTGGGTCAAACCCTGTGCAAATACCCGTCGGCGTATCTCCCAAATACTGCCAATTTTATAACAATATTGTTTATACATAGTATGATAAAAGTAAAAATAAGATATAGTGTTTGTCTAGCCATATTAAACCTTTTAATACTCTGGTGTGGGTTTGATTTATAACAGGCTTGAAACTTATACTATCTAGAATGGAATATAGTTTCCTCTCACACCCATTTTAATGTTATTTTATTCTATATAGATTGAATAGATATGGTATTAAAATAATGAAAAATAAAGTGGTTGCCTAGTAGAGTAGTTCCAGCTACCACAAATTGTTTATTTTTAAGAAATAGCTTTTAAGTAATATGATTTTTTGGTTGCTTTTAGGGTTAAATGAATTTTGCTGATTAGTTAATGGTTATCTATAGTATAAGATCTATAATAATCAATTGACGTTATCTGATAAATTATAAACAATGTAGAAAAACATGAGAATATGGATGTTAGTCAACCTATGTATAATTAAAAGATAATTAACGTTGTTGCATAGTATAGTAAATCCACACAATATAATTAAATAAAGAAAGCAGATATAATACATAAATGATAGGGGCTTTTCTTTCCGCTTGATCTCACTTTTGAGAGAATGTTATAAAAAAGTTTAATTTACCCCTGCCATCTGACCTCAACTGTTTCCTAGATTGATGTCCTCAGATCCACCACCGCCTGAAGCTCCAGTGTGGGGTAGCGGTGCTCCACTGACTAGGATTTTCCACCCTGCAGGCAAATGCATTTGCACTGGTTTAAATGGCCTTCTAATTTCTACCAGCTGTTTTGTCCCCCCACAGGACTTACCATTCCACCTTGTGCACATACACCCTTCTTACCCCCATCTTCTAGCCCTCCCTCATTCTACAATCAAATTTTGCATACATGTCAACTATGGAAGTTTATTCCCATATGCTGACAAGGCAATAATAAAACTTGCTACCTCTGCAATCATTCTAGCTGGCTTTATTGATTTTCACCCATTTAAGGGCTATCTTGACATGGGCTTCTAGATAAAGGAGAACGCTACAGCAGCAGCTTCAAACCCCCTATTTTACAAAAACACTCTCATCCCCACTACCAAACTCACCTCCCTTCAGACAACATACTGGTGGTTTCCTTTGCATCCCTCCCTTCCCACATCCCACCCTAAGTTTTATATGAACAATTGAAGGAGGGGCTTTTGGCTTATGGGACTCAGCCCAGCCTCATCTTCACCATTCCCTCTGGTGCAGTGCCTTGCTGCCACTCGCTATACTGCCACCATAATCCCACACCACCCTACCATAGCCTAACAAATTCTCCCCAAGCTCATATCACAGTGGCACCTGAGCATTTTTTTGGGCTCAAGTAGATAATGGTCAGTAAGTTTGTCCCCTCTGTTTTGGGTCTGACCATTCAAAATATTCTGCCTCTAAACTATTTACTATGGTGTGGCTTCTGAGCCCTTTTTCAGCAGATTCTGAATGGGGCGTTTTGTTGCCATCTCCCACCCAACATTCTCACTTGATGGGCCAGAGTGGGATTCTGGCCCCACCAAATTGTCTGCCCACATTAACCCAACCAAATTTAACCCCACCAATCAGAGTCAGGCTTGTACCACCATTCAGACCCAAGCAACCCATTCAACTACTACCCACCCTAATTCTACATCCACTATTCTTGTGAACCAAGATCATTGGGACCTATTGGCTGAGGTTGACAAATCAGGTAAGATTATCACAAATAAGAAAACTGGTGAACCTCTTGGCATGATGGATTACAAACGGGCTAAATTTTATAATTCTTATTTTGACAAAACCCTTTCCCCCTAAACGATTTGCTCCTAAACCCAATGCCATCCCCTACCAAGTGACCACCAGCTCACCTTAGCAGAGGTGACCTCACTCCATTGCTCAGTCCTCCACAAATCAGTGGCCCAATCAGTGGCTCTATTTCATAAAGGGCTGACCACACACATCTGCCCCCTGATTTCTCCAAAGCAGCACAGGGCAAAATCATCAAATTTTTTGATGATGCCAAAGATTCTGTCATGCATGTTGCAAAACTAGCAGATTTCGACCCATCTTCTAAAATCACCCAGCAGGACATAACCTTTTTTGGCCCAAATCTCTGATGTCCACCTACAAGCTGAACACCATCTAGTGGAATTAGTTGAAGCTGTCTTTCAAGCTAATCTTGAAGAAGAAAACACATTTTTCACAGTCATTTACCACCACCACACTGATGCCCCAATGCCCTAGCTCTGCACTTTTGTCCACTTTTACAACCATAATGAATCTTTCATGAAAAATATGCCTGTAGAAGAGCCGCCTGACCCCCCTCACCCTCTGCCATGGTAGTTTGCAGTATTCCACTCCCCATTCAGTTGGGGTTTTTTATTTTTTGTTTTGATATGTTTGTCAACTGGTTCTTTTGCTCATTAAGTATCAGTAATGTATCCCCTGGTTGACGTACCTCAAAAAAAGTTACAATACATAATGGGCTTCACTCTTAAAGTCATATGGTAATATTGTTGAAGCATTCAGCCATTACATGTGCAGGCCAAAAGTTTACTAATGTGGAACTAAAGAGTTATTCTAAGTGAGATGTTAATATACAAGCAATAAGATTATAAAAGTACTAACTTTACATAGACTATGATTTATAATGTTATTAATATAAACAAAAATGCCTAATTTATAAAAATTAATGATTAAAATTATTCAAGGAAAAGTGCAGAAAAAATAATGCTATCTTGCAGGGAATCAAACCCTGGCCGCCAGGGTGAGAGCGTGATATCCTAGCTACTGGACCACAAGGGATGTTTATTGGGAATTTAGTTATATATTGAGTATATTGATAAAAGGAAAAAGGGAGGAAACATGAGGTTCTAATTGAAGAACCATAAGAAATATAACTCAAACAGTAATTAAGTAAAAATAAAAATAACATAAACATAATTACCAGACAATGTATTAGATAGAAAATTTTCTAAACTGATAAAAATCTTATAAAATGCTATATATAATTTTATAGTACTATACTATACCTTATATTTTTGTTAATCACATATTGTATCTAGGTACATAAATTTATTTCTGCTATATTAACTATATATATATATATGTTTCTTTGTTTTTCCCATATGCATTCCTATATCATTCAACCAATCATGATGAAACTTTGGTGAGTTGGTGTGTGCATGCTTGCAAAAGTTTCTGAATTTTAAAAAATATTATTTTATAGTGAAATAAAAAGTTTTATATGTAAGAAGCAAAAACCCTATATGCACTTGATGGTATTTGTTATATTGTTATGGCTGAGCACTTTGGTATTCATTTAATTTGATAATTTCAATAGTTTTGGAAAGCAGTTGTTGTTTTAGGTTGATTAATAAGCTTGATGGCTTTAGTAAGCACTTAGTGGTTGGTTGATTCAATAAGTTACTTTGTGTTTGGTAAGATGTTGGTGTTTTTTTGGTCATTTTGATAAGTTTATTTTGGGATTATTAAGCAGTTGTTTAATTGTAGTTTTGATATATTTGATGGTTTTAGCTAAGTGCTTTATATATGCTATGATATAAAATCCAATATACTCAAATTAGACTTTCTTTTATAAACCATGTGCAATGATAGGTAAAACCACTAACTTTTTGGTATAGTATAAATTCAAATTTAATTATTTCAAATGGTTTGTCTATTAAAACCAATCAATGCTGGGTAACTCCGCTAGTGACAATTTTAGCTATCCTAAAGTGGTCTTACCTGGGGACAATACTACATGATAATGGGGAAATTGAAAATAAAAATAATGGGAGAGGAAATTTTCCTATAATCCTTCACATGAAGCATTCTAATAGGCTTGGAACTGTAAGTCTGGAGACCCAACCTCTTGGTTTGGACCAGAAAAGATCTCTTTTGGAAGAAGATGTGACCTAATGCCCCTGTGGAGCCCTTGGCTCAACTGGGGGACTTGGGACATGTGGTTGATGAATGTTAAATAACCTCATTGGCCCCAAAGGATCCCTCCACAGTATCCCCCTTGGCCGCTTCTTCCCTTGTTGAAAGGATAAAGAAGGTTTGCAGGGAGGTAATCCAGGCCAGAAGTCACCAACAGCGCCTCCACCCTCCCCGGCCTTCACCCCCCAATCCCTCACTTTCTTGGAAAGGAAGAAAAATGACCTCAAAATTTCAGAAATGGTTCCTGAGTCAGGAAAACTGGTCATGAACATGGAATCTGAAATTCTGAGTCCAGGAATGCTAATCCAAGTTGATAATATGTTTTTAAAAATTATTTTTTAAATAATTTGTTAAAATTGACCCTGGAAGAGTTTAATTTCGCCGCCCCTCTGATCCATGCAAATCTGCTCAAGTTTGGATTGGTGAGGGTTCCTCCCTGGCGGATCAGCAAAATTATGTTTCCAGAGCTTTTATGATCTAGTGCATAAGCTAGATGATGATGCCCCAATCTCAGGCTGGGTACCCATGAGTACATCAGCTGCCCCTGTTTAGGAACATATCCATGACCCCCTTTCCCCCATTTTCACATATAAGGCAACTGCCTCTGGAAGGGGCAATTGTCAGTCCATTATCACTCTTAAGTTTAAATAAAGATGATCTTTACCCAAATATACTCCATGAACTCCATCTCTTTTTTCCAATATACTTTCACATAACCCAGTAAAATATGCAGCGATCTGCGTTTTAGGACCAATGATTGTTGAATGAGCCCTCCAAGCCATTAATCTGGCAGCTCACCAGACATTGATCACAATAATCAAAGATTTCACCATGAGCGCATGATGCCAATCCACCACTTCTGAAGAGTTTTTGGATCTTCCAGACTCTTTACAACAATCTTCTCCTCCTTTGGCTCCTGGCGGACAAGCTACAGGTCTGCCTCCCACTTTGCAAAATAGTCAGATAATTCAGACTAAATTTCCCCATTGAACTGCTGATAGTTTAGCACAAATTTGGGCAGAATGAGTCTGTCTCCACTAATCGCAATTCTCTGTTTGAGGGCGAGAAAGGTAAACTTTTGCAACCATGAGGCAATAACCAGGCACTAGAATACCCAGGCCATCTTGCTGAGGGCAATATGGCCAAATCAATTCATAAAATAGATCCACGACCCCAACGACGTCCCTGACCCCTCAACCCATCGTGAAACCCCTCAATGGGTGCAAGGCAAAGCCCAAGGCCTCCTGACAAACAAATTAATTAAAATTGATTTGTGAACCTGATCAGCATTTCCAAAATTTTGAAAATTTAAATAATTTTCGGAGTTTTTATTATGATGAACCAGTACCAGAAGGTTTAAAAAAGAGCCCAAAGATCACCAACAGCAAACCCAGGAGGATTGGTTATTTTTCCTTGCCTCTCCTAACCTTATGAGCTTCCCCATCAAGACCTGGGGTTGCCCCCATTGCAGCCATTTGGTTTGCTATGGGGTCTTTGGTATGTTCTTGAATTTTTATTTCCCTCACAAGAATCATAGGGGGGTCCCTCATACAAGTAATCAGAACTGCTATGCCATTGACATTCTGGTTTTCACTAAGGTTGTTACACACCTAGATTGGAACCCAGTCTTACTTTAATCAGCAGGTTCCATGGCAGGAACTCCATGGGCTGACTTGCTATATAAAATCTCAGTTTGTGGAATTGGTGTTAAAATACCAACACAATCATAGATTGTATCCTACTCAAAGTTCATCTACTGGGATTGAACCTGGGAAATGGTAATCATTAAGTACATACTCTTCCATTGGGGCACCCTCCCCTTATATTAATAACATGATTTTTGAAACATTATTATATGGTAATCATTTTATATATTATGGAAAGAATTGTTTTAATATTTTACACTTAAAAATACCTATTTTATATAAAGGTAATTAAGAAAAACAAGAAAAACCATAAAATATTTTATGATAAAGCTTCTGAACATTTATTAAACTAACCTTATAAAATTTTAACTAGAAAACAAGAAAAAGAAGTAACCAATTGTGCAATGCTCATGTGAACCATTAGAAAGCAATTGGTATAGTTGATGCAAGCCAAAGATAAAAATACATGAGATCACAAGGAAAGAAATTGATTTTAATAAAAATAGAAATAAATTTCATTGTAGTTAAGAGAAGAAGGGAGAAGGCTACAAAGTGCTTAGGAAATTAGAAAGGGAGCTTAAATACTGTATAAATTATTTGATATAGCATCTACAAGGAAAAGAAAATCAACAGTTGGTGAAAGTGAGATAAATATGACCATGTTTAATTTCAAAGTTGGTTTTGTGATGATCCTTACAGATATGAAAAAGGATGATTTTCTGATAGCCAAGCAAATTGGTGAGAGATATTGAGTTTGAATGATGCTCAAAGTTGTTTAAGGTTGTTGTGGATTTACCCACTTTAATCAGATTCATTGATTATAAATTTATCTTCTGGTCCACTAGAGGATTCATCCCACTAGTGTAACTATTGGGTTGAACTGATAATTACATTTTGCTTGAGATTCAGAAATTTGAATCTTGAGTTAAAAGCGATATTTTGGGTTTTTGCAGTTTATGTGGGGCTTGCTCTGGGCTGTGCCCTCCAGAGCTATTCTTTATGCTCTTAAGAGCGTAAAGAATAGTGTGGGAGGGGCTCCCTGGAAAGCGGCCTTTTAAGGTTGGGCCCACATGATTATAAACTCAGTTCAGAATTCTCTTTCTCATTTCCAACCCTTGCATGGATCTCTCTGGTGGCTTTGGGGCCACCCTTGCCTTGTCTTACCTGGTATCCCATGAGAACCTAGTTTTTTTGCCTTACAAAAAGATGTTTGGTTTTCAGGGTTTCAATTGCCAATACAATTATGGGTTTTTCTATGTGTGTTTGTGGTGCTGTTATACTATTGGGATTAAATTTATCTGCATGTTTATTTTTGTTATTAAATAAAACAAGGCTAATTTTGGGGTTAAAATCCTCATTTACCTGTGTCATCTTTTTTTATTTTCAAATTTCCCTAAATCCAAGGTCTAATTGGTGAGTATGATGAGTCAAAACACTTACCTCAAGGGAACCCCATATCTGACTATCTTTTGCCATCCATCCGCCAATCCTAAGGCAAGATGGCGGTTAAAGAATGGGACCTTTTTAGGTTTTAAATATTATGAACTCTCTATGCTTTTAGTATGCCACCAGATCCCCAGTTCATCCCAACCTCAGTGGTTGATTTAGGTCCTGGTTTCTAATTGACTAGCACTGGGGGGAGCTGGTGACTAATGGCCAACTCTGGACCTGAGCAATCATCAGTACAAAATCCTGGTAAAGCTTCCCCCTCAACAGGGATTTGGCTGGCACTGAGGGACCTGGCCCAGCAGGGCTCCTCACCTCACAGTCAGTCCAAACTGTGGGGGATAACCACCCAGCCATGAATTGGGCATGTTTCCCCTCACTGGGTGGACTGGCTTTTGCAGTCTGGCTCTGGCCCCATTTTTTATTTTGGAAGCCCTTGTGGTGGTTGCCTAACTATGGTGCACTCTCTTGTGGTAGGGCTCCTTCTTAGTGGGGGCGATGCAACAATTTGGTTGAACTGATTATTACATTTTTACTCATATTGAGAAATCTGAACCTCAATCTGTACACTATTTTTAGGTTTTTGCAGTTTATGTGGGGCCTGCCGCTGGGCTGTGCCCTCCACAATATTCTTTACGCCCCTAAGAGCATAAAGAATAGCTCTGGAGGGGCTCCCCAGAAGGGAGATCTTTTAAGGTGCGCCTATGAAATTCTAAACTCAGTTCAGAATTCTTTGTCATTTTCCACCCTTTCATAGGTCTCTCTGGTGCC